TCGGTTGGAGCGACTGGATTGTTTATCCGAAGCGGTATAATGCCTATCGATGTGAAGGGAGCTGTCCTACACCTGTAGATGAGACATTCACCCCCACCAACCATGCCTACATGCACGTAAGAATCTCGAAATCCTTGAAATAATTGCAATTCAAATGTTTACTCTTTGCCAGTCTGATTCTAATGTTTGTCTTCTCATTTGCAGAGTCTTTTGAAGCTGCACCACCCAGATCGCGTCCCATGCTTGTCCTGCGTACCCACCCGTCTGGCTTCACTCCCAATGCTCTACTATGAGAACAGCAAGATGGTCATGATACACCACGAAGGGATGGTTGTAGGAGAATGTGGCTGCCACTGAGTCTCCAAACCCCAAATTAACTCAACACTAGCACTTTGGATATGTTCGTTAAACCAGAAATACATATTTAAGCACAAATGAAGATACATTTCTTTAATTTGTACATTATTTTCACTTGGAATCATGAGGTATCCTGCACTGAGGCACCTGGATTACTGAATGCTATTTTGAAAGCTTTGTGTGTTTGCCTAATTTGTAAATAGTAGAGTATGTAAATTACCAAATGTAATAAAGTGTTTTCATAATGGTAATAAATGTATTGTTTTTTTTTTAAATGAGAAAATCAGCAACAGCAGATGAATAAGGAAAACACTTATCAATTCTCTGGTGTTTATTGATTTTTTTTTTAATGTTTAAATGTCTCTTCAGAGTTAACAGGGCAGTTTTAGAGAACTTCACAGCAAAAAATAAAAATAAAAAAAGGCATTTTACATTATATTGAATGACACTTTAGGTGAGCATACTCATTAGGATAAACAGAAATTAGATTTTACATTACAAAAAGTATCAATGCCAAATGGAAAGTGGTCAAATTCACTGATTGCGGGTATGCTAAATTTATAGCAGTTGGCATCTGGATTTCCTCCACACCATTCTTGATGAGAAAACCACCAAGAAGAGAACCATTGCTCCCTCTAATGACCATTCTGTAAAACTACACAAATCTGTATCAAACAAACAATGTCACATGGTGGCCTGTGAGATGTCCTCCATGTCTTAGGCAGAAGTAGAGCTGCATCGATGTGCTTGGGATGCACTATCGGTCATCCGAGATAGTGGCTTTTTCAGGCACAACAGTGTTAGCTGATGTTGAGAATCTAAAATAATGGCTTTGTGCGCGTCTTGAACGTCAGCATCAGTACAGGAAAGGAAAATATCATTTAAACAGCAGGTAAATGAAAGAAAAAAGACAGATGACATGGAAGGAGAAGTCTTCTGTGCATTTATCCTCTCAGGGAACAGTTATCATCACAGTAATACTTGTTACAGTCATCGCCTCCTTCGTGTAGCAGGTCCTCTGTTGTAGTTAGATATCCATTTCAAACTGGGCATCATCTCCTTGAAATTACAGAAAAAATTAAAAATGTAACCCTATAAATTCTACTGCATCACATTTGATACACACATTTCCAAGCCCTTGGAGTTATCAATATGATCAAAAACCTTGCTGAAAAACATGTTGAACACCATCTAGTACATGCCTTCTGTCATTTGATTGATAATTTACAGTTTTTAGCAAGTAAAAGGCCTTCAGGTCATGATGCATCGTGATGATGTTGTTTTGCTGTGAAATCTTTCATGATTTTTATGAAGTGCACATAAGAATACTTTTATATTGTTAGTGATTTTTCAAGATGAACACTTACTAAATTGATGACACTTACTTGATTAACCATACATCATTTTTAGAAAAAAATCAAATGTTAAAATCTAAGTATTAAATATAATACATCAATTGAGGACAATTAAAACAGAGCGTTGATCATAAAACTAAGCATTTAAATATCTTCTTATTAAAACATTATTGGAGGATATAAAATGATAACTAATATTTATATGCATTTTATGCAAGTAATCTTACTTACATGCACATTTACATACATATAAATATCAGCAACTGGATCAAAATGCATGTTTTTGCTCAGTTTGGGTATCTGAAAAAAAGAGGCCTTTTTTTCCCTCGAGTATAAGCTCCTTATTTTCTTACATCACACTATACAAAATTATATATATATATATATATATATATATATATATATTAGGTATTTTTGTTATAATAAAACAATATACATTTTATTGTTATTATTATGTTTAGATATTATTATAAAATGTGATTATTTCATTTATCAGGCTTTACACGGTTAATAACAAATTTTAGCTTCAGTGCACATTTACCTGCGCTCTTGTCCGCCAGGGGGCTGATGCTGTTATTATTGACAGTCTGTTTGGGGTAGGCCTTGTCATTATTCATGGTGAACGCAGGAGGACTGGTCACCCCCGGAATGTCAGGGAGGCAGCAGGGTGGTGTGCGGGCCAGCGGGGAGCTGCGACAGTCCAGCAGGAATTTTCGGTCATAGATGATCCGGGTGCCTACATAATTATTTAGTAATCAAATCAAGATTACATTACGGGAAGGAAACAACAGTCTTAGAACAGGCTACAAGAGCAAAGTTGACCGACAAGCCTGTGAAAACATGGAGTCCAGCCAGGTGCGTTCAGTAAGTGCCTTGTTAGTATCGTGGGTTACATTCGATCCAAACATGTCTAAACATGTTCCTACGACTGTGGACAAGAGTTGCACCATTAAAAACCCAACCCTTGTAAAGTGTCAATGTTTGACACCCTATTTTTCATTACATTTTTTCCTTATCAGAACAGAAAAGCACAAGCCGACAGGCTGAAATGAAGTAGTGAGAACATACTATCAGCTCTCCTCCTATCAGCCCTGTTGAACCTACTGTGAACAGTCACACACAAACATCCTTGAACTACATTCACTCAGTGAGGAAAAGCTAATGAGTGCATTACGGTGTAGAAAACAGCCTGAAACACTTATAAACACAACCCATTGGTTTATGCACAGAAATCAAGCATGATATATTGCTCTTGGGAATTTTTGTCAGGCGACTATTGTGTGTTACATCACGGCTCATCTGATGATCTCTAGACAAACAGTGATTGATACACTATTTACAATAATAAGAATAGTCACCCTTATGCACTAGAAAAGCAGAAGTGGTCGTTTACAATAGGAAACCAACACAGTCACATGCCTCGAGAGGCATCACGTCCACTTTTGTCGACGGTTTACAAATTTTGTCATCTGACAAAATCCACAATGTACATAATAAAACATAAAAGTACTTATAACATCCATGAGAGAATGTTTCTATTTTTCCATGAGAGAATGTTTCATATTTTTCCTCAGCTATACATGCCTCGAGAGGCATCACGTCCACTTTTGTCGACGGTTTACAAATTTTGTCATCTGACAAAATCCACAATGTACATAATAAAACATAAAAGTAATTATAACATCCATGAGAGAATGTTTCTATTTTTCCATGAGAGAATGTTTCATATTTTTCCTCAGCTATAAAAAAAAGATACGTTTTCCTTCTAAAAAGAACTTAAAATAATTCACTCATCTTCAAAAAGTGGACAAATTTCATTAATATCATGCATAATATTAGAACGCCACACCAGCCCGTCCAAAATACACTTGAAGGTCGTTCAAGGCCATTATGTCATCTTAAGTCATTTTAATGACATAAATGAAATGTTCAAAATGTTAAAGTCAAAACGGCCTGTAAAGAAATAACCTCTTTATTTTGAATGTATACTTATTTATTAAAAAATTTTAATCAATCAATACCTATTTTTACGTTTAGAATTGTACATCGTAAGCATATTTGAACAGTATTTCTGCCATTACAACGTCTGAGAAGACCAGCAGAACATTGTTTAGCAAGACAAATAAAGAAGACTGCAGTCGAGTCAATAAAACAATGTTCTTCTCGTCGTAAAGATAACATAACCTGAATTTATGACCCCTTCACAGGTACAGTTAAAAGGCAAACAATACAAGACAAGCAGGCTGGAGCGTTATGAGCACGCGCACCGCTATATGTCAAGCACAAAGACAATGCTAGCGGAGATGCATCGCTATGTCGCGATCATAACAAAAACAACGCATGCACCGCGACAGCTGCGAGTGCCCCCAAACGATTCATCTGCAAGTTCGTGACATTTACCTCCAGGAGTCGTGCTAAAGAGGGTCCCTCCGGGCGTAGTAGAGTAATCGTGAGGCATATGGGCCGCATCGTTGATTGTGACTCGTCTGGTGGTCGGAATTGCCTGACTGGTGGTCTTCTGACTGCCCATGGACATTTTCAACACTAGTGCAATCACAAATTCAGCCAGCTGCCTTAATCAAATAGTGTCTCTGCACCTTAGAGCAAAAGAATAAAACAGTTCAGCTCGAATTTAACCGGAAGAAAAATGTATATGTTAGCGGTATCAAGTTACTTTCTATAATTATTTACCTTGTCCGTTTGTGGCAAAATTTACTACATACAAAAATAAATAATACTATATATTTGAGCCTGTATAACACTTCATTCACACTCGCAAACTAGCTAAAATGCTAGCCTTCTCCGTGACCACGTTTTCTCTCTCACTCTCTCACTCCCTCATGCACACAGCACACACTCAACAACACACGAGCAGGAAAGGGCTATTTAAATCGGAGAATTGATACAACGGCGCCCCCACTGGTATACGACGGTATTGCAATAGCGCGATGGGAAATGTAGTTTTTTTTTCGACGTTTACATGGCAACATCCATGTGGTACTTTACATACGTGTACTTTCATGGCAACATCTCCACCGAAATTACTTAGAGATGATCTTAGTGTAATCGGATTAATTTTAACAAAACTTTTTTTTTAAAGTTACTTAGTAGTTATTTTACAATATTTGTAAGTATCACACTGTATAATACACGTGGATATGCAAAATATGACAATTTTGTCAACATCATAAGATTTTCTGTGACAATGGTGACAAGTTGGAGTTGAAAATTATCCTATGTTAAAATATGTACCCATCCTGTAGTCTCCGTTCATTCATTCTTTTACGTTAATAGCCTGCTAGATTGATAAATGCATATCAGTAATATTTGGCACATTCTCTTACACACGCACACAGTTTCACAATATGTCACATCTTTCTTTATTAATTTTTGTAAATGATCTGAGCTGGTGTGCAGGGTAAATGATCTATACATATCTTCATATCAGAATGAATCTGAATAAAAGGCTTGAATACATATTCAATGTTCGTATTTCCTGTCTCCGTTACAATAAAAAAAAAAAGGAAATTAAAACATGTTCAAATAGCTACAAAGCCTCTACATTCCCCATGACATGGGCATGTATGTATTACGGGATTCTAACTAATATATTTAAAGTACATCCATAACAACTCTAATAAGGGTGCATAGCATTCTAATTAAATATAGTTTGTCATATATTTATACATATATTCTTTATTAAAAACATATTTTTCTGTGCATGTGCGCAGTTGCATTCCTTAGTACAGAGTAATATGATATTGCGTTTATATTGTCATTAATCCATTCTAAAGGAGTATAGGTGAAGTCTATTTTTGCAACAGTTAAACATTGTACATAAACTCTTTTTTAATACATAATGATTGCAATGTTAAATCGTTTTGTTCCTTAAACAAACCAAAAATAAATAAATAAATAAATATAAATTAATGAATTAATTAAAAACATTCTCTTCCTTTCCCCCATTTCCAGGAATTGTATGTCTCAGTTAACAATTACAGCAGCGATAAGATATTGAACATGTATCCATGTCCTTCATGCTGAGGTCACTTCCCTTACCCACTTCCCAACACCCCTGATAATCCTTATACTCCTTTGAGTGGATGTAGGATTTACCGTTACATGTGTATTAACTAGAATAATGGAAGAGAAATCATCTGTCAACATAAACCTGAGTGAACTGTAGAAAACAATATACAGTGAAGGAAAAACTCATGAGGGTTTTAAAGCGAAGGGACGTGTGCATTCTCACAAAGCACACAATTTCATGAAATCAACTGATCTGATTAGACTTTTTTTTTTAAATATGAAAATACAATCATTGTCATTCGTCCAATTGTCCATGCATTCCATAAATCTTTTTTTTGTTTTTTTGTTTGGAGGTTAAGTTCATTTATTCATTCACTCATTCAATGACATCCCTCAACTTAAACTACACATATGTGTGAGCCAGTATATCACGGTGTGCTTGTGACTATGTAAGCTACTGTGCTGTGATTAAATGTTGAGCACCGTACCTGATTTCATTATGCTTGCCAGCCGTTCAAAGAAACCTTGTCTATTAAAGTGAAACAGCTACCGTTCAGTGAACTGGAGTTGGCATGTAGATCACGTAATTGCATACGGTGTGAGATACTCATGCATGCTGTTATATCTCTTGAATCGTATACGTCTTACAAATGCTACTAACATTTCGAGTTAATACAGTATATACTGAACACACAAGCGCTCATAGACAGAAAAACGCACACACACACACACCGACAACAATGCAGTATTCCAACTGTTGCGGCACGTTTGATATTATTGCTTTGGTAGACTATACTTCAAGAGTTTTGTGTATGTTTGGGCTCTTTCGTAGTTAAAAAAAGAATAACAACTAAAAAACACATGCAAATGACGTTAATAATGAATTTGCAATAGAAGTAGTTTAAGCTAGTTACCATATAACCTTGTTCGTGTGTGTTGGTACTGGTAAAAGTGAAACATTTGAAGCCAAAAAGTGAGACAGACAGTTGTGAGTTCACAGTTCAGGGGTCAATTTTAAGGTGGACTTTCACAGTGCTGTCTGTATATTTATCAGTCTATTTTTAACTGTACATCTAAATGAAAAACAAACAAACAAACAAACAAACAAAAAGAATAATCGTTTAAGACGCTTCCTTGTCGCGTAACTTCATCCGAAATCCCAAACATTACAAAGGCAGTTACTCAGAGATAGTCCCCAAGCCCCACACATCACAGCTACAATCGTTTTTTCCCCAACAGCACAGCTTGATTAATAAATAGAAAATAAATAAAAATATCCGGGCCGAGTGCGGGCCCAAGAGAACAGCATGAAAAGCTGTGTTAACCAGCATGCAATGCTACATTAGTCTGAAATCGGTCCGACATGGCGGTTTTAGTCAAGTAGCTGAGCTACAAATGTGGATGAACGGATGGTCGGTAGGTCAGAGGTTAGAGTTGTGAACTGTCAGACAGAGAAAGCACATGCCCTCCTTAGGTTGCCATTTTGGGTGTTACGTACAAAGCTACACTACCTGCAACAAATAAATCAGTTCGTTTTTTTTTTTTTAAACAGGGGGGCTTGAAATTCAAAATGAGAGATATAAGACTAAAAGGTGTCTGACAGTTCAAAGGAACACGGATACGCTTCACAAAATGGAAATAAACGAAGGCGGACGCTCACGAGCAGGAGAGCACAGTGGCTTGTTGTCATTCCCATGGCAAACACCAAATGAGCTCTGACCGATCCAGAAAAAAAGCTCAGTACCAAGCTAGAAGCGAGTACACATGCGTTAGATACCGACACACACCGACGCACATTCACGTAGCATTAGAGTGCATATATCACATTGAATAACAGGATAAAGGGCCTGTGGGAAATGACGTGACGGGCTTAGCATCCACTATGCTGCTGTGTAATGACAATCAGTTTGACAAAATAAAGAACTGTTGCTTTTTTTGGGCTGTTGTGTTCCCAAGACCCTTTGTTTCAAGAGTCTCTCGTTTTTTTTTTTAAGATCCAAAGGTTTTTTCCCTCCCCGCTGCCAGTCCTGGAACGGCCCTTTACCTTGTACCCCTTCAGTTTTTTAGATAATGACAGCTCATAGGTCATGCACCAGCAGTCAGTCATGCGTTTACAGTTGACAGGAAGCACTTTTGTTGCTTTTTTTGGTGGTTTTCTTCACGTTTTGTATAAAAAGTTCATGCCCTATGCTAGTTGTATGTTTCTTTTTTCTACTGTTAAAAATGTTACAAAACTACAGGTAGAGAACTCCATCTCCTTGTTGTTTTCTGTGGCGCTCCATGGTTGCTTGACTAGGATTTGGCGCGGTGTGTTGTTCTTTCGCTGCATGTTTTGTTTTTTCCCATTATCGCTCCATGTCTCGTCCTATCTCCCAGTCGTGCGTAGGTGAAAGATGATTTGGCAGTGGATGTTCGACCCTGGAAGAGCAATCCTTCATGAACAAATAGCTCCTTCAAAGAGACTGAAGCAAAGTCACTAAAACATCAAACCGATGGACGAATTTTAGCAAAACTAGCATGCCCCATGGGTTTAAAGCTGTTCTTATCTAATACTCTAATAATTTTACCCGTTCCGGGCCGTACCTTCAGGACAGTTTGTTTGTTTCAGTGCTTTACTCTCCGTAGACTGGAGTGCTTCACGGTCTGGACATCCCTTTTCACATCCATGCCCAACTGGAGAAAAGCAAGAGGGAGGATAGGGACAAGTGAAAAGATGATTGAATCATTATGTAAGTGTGCTAGTTGTTAACTAGTGGTAATTTGGGCATTTCGTTAGTTTGATTCACTGAACAAATATTACCTGCAAAAAATAAGTCTATGGTCTGAGTCTGAATGAACTTAAAGGGTCTGTCATTAATTATTCACCCTCCATGTATGTATTTCCAAACCCATTAGACCTTTGTTCGTCTTCGGAACACAAATTAGGATATTATGTAAAAGTATTGACTCTTGTCGACGTAGGAGCCGGCGTTCTTACGTAGAACACGGATGCACTGCGCCTTGTTTACAAGCAGAGAAAGACACATGCTATACCATAAAACAGTCTTCGTAAACATGTCTGAAGATTTCGACACAGAGGATGACTTGCAATTTTTTGCCCAGCCTTACTTATTCGAACCAGAATATACAGAAGATGAACTAAGAGATGGATGTTCCACATTAGAATGCCAACTCCTGCATCAGCAGCACCACACGCATGCGTCGTGGTATTCTTGTGAACGCGCATGGAAGACTGACACGGAAGAGAAGACATTGTTGAATAAAGTCCTTATTTTTGTTTTCTTTGCAAACAAAACGTTTTCTTATAGCTTCATAAAATTACGGTTGTACCACTGATATCGCATAGACTATTTTACCAATGTCCTTACTACCTTTCTGGGCCTTGAATGTGGTAGTTCAGTTGCTGTTTATGCAGCAGGGTCAGAAAGTTCTCGGATGTCATCAAAAATATCTTAATTTGTGTTCCGATTAAGAACAAAGGTCTTACGGATTTGGAACGACATGAGGGTGCATAAAAACATATTTCAAAAACATTACAAAATATTACAAATCCTAACATTTGTACAGTTGTGTATATAGAACAAATGTAGTTTAATAAAAGCAAACAGCAAAAAATAAATGAATTAGGAATCAATTCAACAATTATTAAAATGATATCTATGAAATATTAGAAAACAGAAACTATATTACCCATCATAACTGATGATAATCTCAAAATGGTGAGCCAGATTGAAACTTCTATATACCTAAAAGAAACCAGATGACCTACCTTGCTCACAACATTCCCATGCTCATCAGTAAACTGCTCTTCATGTAGATGATCACTGGAGAGATCTATTGGATCATCCTTCTGCAAGCAGGGAATAATAGCTGGATTAATTATCATTACCAATTAATTGAAGTCAAGACTGTGCCCAAAATCATGTTCTTTGCTCAGACTGGACAGGCCCAGGGGACACACCTGTGCCTTCCGTCTGTCCTGGTCCCATGCCCGTAATTCCCCCTCCTGATGGGAGAAGCCCAGCCCTTTATCAAAGGGCTGAGTGCCCAGCAGACGCCCCCGCAGGACCTCCGAATGGCCTGTATCACATACCGGTGTAAGTAGGGCCTCCTGTGCTACACGTGACTGATTGTGGTCCGGGGACGATGACACCACGGCCTCCATGGTCTGCCTCGCTTTGGGTTGGGACCAGCTGTGGAAGGAGTCTTTCTCCTGCGAGTAAGGCTGGAAGGCACCGCCGCTGAGCCTGCGAAGGAGGGACGGACAAAGACGGTGTAAAGTTGTCTGTCCAAAGGACGACGTTCAAAGTTTTAATAGTGGTTCTAATTTTGCGAAAATAGCGAAGTCCACATCTAACTATAACGTGGGAACGCAATCCGTACCTGTCCCCGTTGTGTTCAAGGGCTCGGGTCAGTCCGGTTCTCTCGCACAACTGAGCGTAGAGCTGTTGCCCTGTAAGAACAGAAAACTTTTCCTCTGAACTTGCCTCTTTTCCACTCTTTCCTCCTCCTCTAGCTACACCCGTCAAACTGCCACCCGCCGCCGCTGCAACCTCTGTCCTCTTGCCCTCCGACCTCTGACCTCCAGCCTGCCCGTTATAGTTGGCCTTTGGGACGGCACCACTGGCCCATGCCTTTTCTACACTTGCCGACACCGGCTCGTGCTGTATGTCATCTTCCTCAATCTCCTCTTCCTCCTCCTCTTCCTCCAGCTCCATGATGGAGCCACTTGCCCCACTGGCTCCACTGCTGGGCCTCCCTAAACTGCTGCATGGCAGGCTCAACGTATTAGCCTCCGAGTCATCCGCACGGCTACTACCATCCAGAGATGAGTCTTCCACGGTCACCAGGGATGGACTGACCCCTGCTGGCCACACCTGCACGTCTGACATCTCCATCATAGTGTCCTCCTCAGTGGTGGCGATGGGCGCGCACTCCAGACTCGACACTTCCTGCCAGTAGGGCTCGACGCCCAGTGGAGAGGGCAGGCTGTACTGCATAGAAGCGGGGGAGAGCAGCTCCTCCTGCACCAGCTCGTAACCTGAGGGATGGCCAGACAAGAAAGGCAACGCTAACACCACAGACACAGTGGGGGTACGTGGGGAGTCTTGACCCTCTCAGAAAGGTCATGCAGAACACAGTGCTCTGGGTGCAGTCAAAGTATGTTGATATATAAGTGAACAGAGGTGCTTTAACGCAAAGCAGCATAATAACAGGGCCACAGAAAGTTCATTCTGCAGAGAGAGATTGGGTTCACTCACAACAAGCAATCCACTTTCAAAGTAACTTTTAAAGGAATATTCTGGGGTTTTTTCAACCTGAGGGTTTTTTCAACAAAATTTGCATTTACAATGATGCTTTAATGCATGGAGGCGGTATAAATAAATTTTAAGCAGAATTTACAATCATGGCACACAGTGTATGACACACTGCTTGGTTCTTTCCATTGGTTGTTGATTGGATGGACACAGATCTGACTACGAGCTTGCAGTCAGTCATGGAGAGGCGGGGATTGGAGAAGTCTGGCAGACAGTAACAAGTAATTTTGAAGTCAAGAAAACATTTTGATTAAACATCACAAGGTCAAATAAATAAATAAAAAATTAAGCATATACTTGAATGAATTATTCACAATTAAATAAATAACATGCATTTGCAAAACAATTGAATTTTCATTTCATGATGACGTAAATGTTTATTTATTAGCTACAAAACATTAAAAAATTTCCTGCTAAGCTTCCATTATAAGTATACTGAAACGTGTTCATTTACACATCTGAGGGAACAATGAGGGACAAGTTTAAATTATCATGTTCAATATGTTGAAAACCCAGAATATTCCTTTACCATACCTTTCCCCACCCACATACACACTAATATGCTCAGATTCAAAATTGGCTCGTGTCAGCTCTTTCTTTCTCATATACGTATGAAAGTTGTGTACATGACCACGCAGTACATCCACCTTAATGAGTATGCAACAATGGCTTTTCTCTTGTGTGTATGATCATAATGTAGGACCACACATTCCTGGGATTGTTCAAATGGAATTGCATGGAATTGCAATATACATAACTGACTTGTATTTGCATGAAATGTGAGCAATAGTACGCATGATTAATAAGAACACGCAATAGTTTTAAATAGGCATTCTGGATCTTAAGGTGTAACAGGGACCAACTCTGCTACTAACTTTGCAGTTTTTTTTGTACTTCTTCATTCTTACAGCACAACACAAATACATTTTATAATACATATTTTAAAAATATAAAAAATAAAGTGAAATATAATCATCAATCACGGCTATTTTATCATTTTTGTATTATATTGCTGGAGTCTGGGAGTCCACAGCTGTACTGCAGGGTGTCCACATATTATTGATTTCAGATTAATTTTTGAGAAACAATGAAAATATGCATCAACAAAAAATAGAATACTAACTTAATATGCTTAAAGCAACCAAAGCTTTGCTAAGAAGCTAAAGTTTATTTAATGCATATGACTGTACTTCAATAAGCATGATTTTTAGCTTTGCAATGAAAGCATTTAAACAAAGTATGGAAATGCATTAACTGAAAATTCATGATATAATGCAATGCATAACCAAAATTTTACTATTCACATTTAGTATTTTTAACTAATTTAGACCATAATATTACGGACACTTGCCTGATGACACAAAACAACAACTAAAAGTTGAGGAAAAAAACTAAAAGATTGTCAGTAGTTTTGTTGTAGCATTACGCTATTATAAATTTTACTAATTTATCAAACAACTGGCACTATTTGAGCAAATGTTGTAGCTGTATACAGTATGTGGGTTGATGGTTGCATGGATGGTTCCATGGTTGGATGGATGATGTATTACTGTTGTATTGGAATGATAATGATAAGAAGAAATGAAGAAATATTGCAGAAGAGAATGAGGATGATTTACAGCGATGAATTAGTGGAGACCTTCACTGTGCCCCCAGTAATGAGAATACACACGTGAGTCAGACGCACACAGAGCACACTGTGAGACACCATAAATCTACTGTCTCTCCAATACAAATAAGCAACACAAAATGGGGCAGATGTGTAAAACCTTTGTTCATTGTTATGTACAAAAGCCACATATGAAAACTCCCTCACACAAAAACAGACACACACACACACACACAGGTACGCATGCAAATAAATGTAAACACACTCAAACAGTCAAACACACATCACATTACAGCACAACACACACAACGCAAAATTATGGCTCTGAAACATCTTGATATCACACAGAGTGATCTGATTATCTTATATGGCCTGACAGGAAGGTTAGATATTTCTTCCCACACACACATACAGATTAGGACTGCATTCACATCTTATATCATGTGATAATTTTATACAAAATATTGTATCTGAATTGTTTTATGCAGCCATTTTGGTCTCTTTCAGCCAGGAGAAAGTGATTAGCTTAGAAAAATAAAGGTTATAAAAATGTGAAATTTTACATGTGATAGATTTCAGTTTTAGCCACAAGGGGTCGTTAATAGCTACACAATTTTCATGTTTGTGAATACAGTCCATGACATCAGCAACAACACCAAGCTCTGGGGTTGAAAATGGTGTCACACAATCAATGCGTGACACACAAACACACTTGAAACACACCAACAGCAATAAATTAGTTGACACGTAACGTTCCAAAAATGCTTCTGCGACACGATACGGTCACAGATCCATTTTCCAGAGCATTATGTAAACAGAACAGCAGGGTCTAAAACAACAATGTTAATATATTCACCAAAGATAAGAAGAAGAGTTACTGAAGTTACTGAAATTCAGGAATTCAACGCCACTCAAGGAAAACAATTAGTGCATATACACAGGAAGTATAAATTGAAAGCATGCCATGCATACACAATTTTGTTATAGAGCAACACAAACAAAGGCCTCTTTTTATTTAAAGGCCTCACAAGTAAATTTTTTTCCAGAAACAACAAAAAAAAAGCACGTCAAGCAGCATGCGCATGCATACAGACACAGCACAGCTCCCACAAAAAATGGGAACTAGAAAACAAAACAAAAAGAATGACAGGAAAAGAGGAGGCCCAGAGGAGGTCATTATGAGGTCGGAGGTCGAAGAGGAGAGCTGTGAGGAGGAAGAGTAGGGCGGCTGGGCTGCAGATGACATGTTTAGAGAAAGAGAGAAGGAGGAAAAGAGAGACGGAGAGGCGCAGACACAAGTATGGAGGCCTGTTGTCTTCTCTTGAAGTACTCATCCATACGAGCCTGCATACTCCTATCTGTTCCTCACTGGCATATTTGAAAAAATACACTTCGGTACCCCAAAGCACATTTGAATTGTTTTCTGGAGCATAACTGCTACAATTTCACTCTCAGCATTTGCTCGCACCACTGCTCTATACTGTGTCAATTTTGCATGCTTCACTCCATAAACATAAATATTAAAAATATAAATATTAAAAAAAAAAATCCCAATGCCATTTTTCCTTTTATATTTTATTTTCCAATTGCATTTGACCATCGTAAAAAAAAAATAATAATAATAAAAAAAAAATATATATAT